CACCCCCCCCACCCCCCCCCCCCGCCTCAGATTATCGCTCTGTTTTTAACATAGGGCAGGGAAGTTTGCATATTTGTCCTTTTTTTCCAGTAGGTCAGTCCTTACAGTGGATATTTGCTTTACCAGTAAGGGGTTATATAATTTTTATTCTTCTCTGTATTGTTTAGTTCTTTTAGGTTTCTTATTTGAATATATGTTGTTAGAAATTAGATTGAACTGCTGCCTGTTGTGTGTAATAGGAGGTTTTTCAAGGTGTATCACCTCATGAACAAAACTAACAACACTTGTAAGAGGTCAGTCACTTTCTTGACTGGCAGATATTCTCACTTAACTATACTTTCTACTGTATTTCTCCTTAACTATTAACTCCAGGACCATTGGTCACAGAAATTCCACTAACATGGCTTCATCATGCATTTACTGAATTTGGGATGTAACGCCTTTTGATTTTAATGGCAAATAATGAGGTTAATAATGAAGAGTTGATTTAAAAATAAGTCACATTAATAGTGACACATTAATTTATTATAGTTCAGTCTTAAATAAGAATAATTCTCTGATATCAATTTGTGGGTCAGTCTACATACAGTGAAATTGTAGATCGACTTAAATTTATTTGTATTTTTCTGTAATGTATACACAGGATCTGAAATGAAACTCTTCATATCCTATTAATAAAATTTCCAGGAGAACTTAAGAGAACTATTTATAAACAACGCTGCAACAGTTGTGCTGAATAAATGCTGCTGGGTTTTCTATTCAATTTTTTAGGTGATGAAAATTTTAACTACAACGAACTAAAATACAACATGTCTATTATTGGTGAACAAGCTTCCAAAAGTGTTTTTATTTGCCCTAAGATAACTGCACATAGCTGCTTTTGTATTTGGCTTGCTGCAGTATGGAGGATTTTCTTGAAACTTTGGTGTGCTTCTTTTTACAGGAATGTACAGAAAGAAGATCGGGTCCCAATGCTTGATGAGTACAGGGAGTACAAGAAAATTAAAGCCAAACTTAGGCTGTTAGAAGTCCTTATCAGCAAACAAGATTCTTCAAAATCAATTTAAATTGTATTCCTCCAACGCATTGAATAACATGATGTTTCCGTATAGTACCACTGTACTTAATGGGTGCTTGTGTTCATTTGTCATGCACTGTTGAAAGAATCCAGTTTGTGCACTTTATTGTGGTGCCACTATAACATGTTTGAAGGGTAAGTAGGTCCTGGCTAGAGAGCAAGTAAGATTTCTAAGTTCGAGACTGCTCTATCCAACTTTAGCAAACACAGTTTCCATCAAAGTTTTGTGTTACAGATGCATCCATCTTGTTCCAAAACAACCATAGCTTTTTTTTTCTTTAGCATACAAGAACTTTTGAGACTTTTGTTATTACCAACTTTTTGCGTTATCGAAGAAATTATTAATACCGTAATGCTACACTGAACTACTCCTCTTGCCTATTTTTTATTATGGGGGAAAAAAAGTCAGCAAATTAAACATACAGCTCTTTTTCCTGGAACATTTAAAAAACAGACTGAAATTCCTTTCAAAGGACTGCTGTGGAACAACTTTAATTTTTGGTATTCTAAATTGCACCTATAACACAGTAATAATTAACATCTATGGATTTTGCTCATTAGTGGTCACGTTTCCTCCTTGATAATGATGACAGTGGACAAACCAGAAAGTGACCTTGCTTAGTGTCTTTTAAAACTTGGAAAACTGAAAAGTTATATCACATGCTGCCTACAGGACTTATGTTACTGTTGTTCATTTTATCATTTTATTGGTTATTGTTTATCAACTAGCGGTGACATAGTGTGTTGTCTGAATTGGATACTGCATCTCCACTTTCAGAAGATTTGAGGAACATAATGAACATTTCAGTGTATGGGAAATCTGATGGCACTCAGACTTGCATAGCTCCAGCAGAAAAGAGCTGGCTTAGGACAGTTAAAATTCCACTGTACCTGAAATAAGTATGGTATCAAGGGCTAAAATCAGTGTAGTTAATGCGCACCACAGGGTGAACTGTCGGTTTTGAGTGAAAAAATTACTGCTGTTTATCACAATTTTGTTTTACAGTTGGAGAATAAAAATAAGTTATCTAACCCTTATGATGTAAGCAAAACAGTTTATGGGCCTTGCATGATTTAGCTTCAGAGTTGAAACTAAATAATGTTTTGAGTATCACATCTGCTGTGCTGAATGATGATTTAGCTACTAGCTTTATGCTCTGCAACAGCCATCAGCAGCTGTTTTTGATCTGGCAAAATCTAAGTGTTAATTTTAACTGGTGCTTTCTCAATTTTTTTTTTTTCTTCAATGTATCAGTTTGATTGTGGCCATGTTTTGCATGCACCTACTCTCACTGCATGTTTTTATGACTGGCTAATGTCAACATAGCTATTATTCACACTGCTTTATGAAAGACCAAAAATGAACTTTCTCACAACATAAGAAATGGCTCGCATGTAACCTCATAGACTTGCTGTTCTGTTATGAAGCATATGAAATAGGTTGAAAGTAGGATTTTTAGTGCTCAGATTTCATCTGTGTACTGTAGAATACTTCTTTTGTTTTACTCTGCTTGTAGGCATGTAATTTTGGAATTCAGAAAAAAAAAGCACTAAAACTATTGAGCACTGGTGGTATGCCTTTTTTTTTTTAACTGCAAAATGATGTGGGACCTGAGAGAATTACGAGGTTAAGCTAGTCTTGAGACCATTTATCAATTTTATTCAGTTCCATTGTGCAATGTACACTTCAGTTACTTTTCTATCAGTCTGCAGACACGGGTGTATCCAAACATTGAAACTAATGTGTACTGTATAGTGTTGTACATGAATGTTTGTGTTTTATATACCACATGCAAAATGTCAATATGCACTATTTAAATGTTTTAAATAATATATTCCTCCTTTATAATGCTTAAATCTATATGATTCCAATATTTTTATAAGTGAATGAGTGATCAGACTGGTTCCAATTCAGAATTAACAGCTGCTTTGTGTTTGTTATGCAGTGTTTGGCTGTTTATTCAGTATAGTAGATAAGCATGGCAACAGTTATGCTGAGTGTGTTTTGTGCCATCCTTGTTGAGCAATAAATAAATGGTAGAACTAGGCATTTTGTGATATAACAGTTTTACTTTGGTAAAAGCAAAACCTATATATCTATATGGATATATAGATATGGAATATATATAACTAAACCAGATATAATTGCATTGCTATGTCTGGTGCTCATTGTATAGACTTTTATAATAAAAGTACCTTAACCTTTATTGTCATATATCTTTGTTTCTCATCATGCTTTCTCCTCCACTGCCATCTTTTAAAAACAAGTGCCGAGTCCTTCGCTGTTCCTGCACGTATTTGTAGTTTCAGGGTGTTGCTGAGGCAGGTCCGAGTCCCACAGCCTGCCAGCAGAGCCACGTGCACTGGTGATGGCTCAGGTGCCCAGACAGCCCTTGATGAAGCTGCAGCAGTTTAAGCCTTATTTTACCTGTTTAGAATGTGCCTCTCAGCAGAGACAGCAGGAAAGTGACCAAATCTGTTCCTGAACTGACAGCTTGGCTTATGGTGCGATGTGGGCTTCAGTTCCTGCTGGGGTGCCAGCCTGCTGTGTGATGACGCTGTAGCAAACTGTGAGTCTCAATCATTCCTGCTCCAACAGTAGCAATTTTGGGAGTAGATGGGGCAGAGAGATGATTCAGCCATTACTGGGCTAATTAATTCGCGGCCAATGAATACACCTTCAGCTGATGAGCAGCATTTGGTCATGTCTCTATACCCATAATGATCTCAGCCTTAAAATTGGTATCCCAGCAGTTACTGCTTGCTGTGTTTGTGTCCAGAAAACACTGTTATTGCACACACTTGTAAACACAAGAGGATGCTTTTCCTCTGGACCAAAAAGATTATTTTTTCATAGTATATTGATGTAAATTTGTATGAAAAGTGACTGAGGTCTTTCAAACTGACTCTTCTGTTGTGTTTTGTGTAAATGCACCTTTCTTCAGCTTAAGGCCTGGCAGGGGACAGAAGAACTGGAGGTCAAGACTCTGTGGATGTGTGGCAGTGCAGGTAAATGGGAAGAAGAAAAGCAACTAGGAAGTTGAGGGAGCAAGTGAGGGAGAGGGGGCAGAAGGCAGCCTTCCGTATGTTCTTTAGAGTGGGCCAGAATAACCTTCCCTCTGATCACATGGCTTTCCTCTGAAGATGGGGAGGGAAAGAAAGCACAAATTCTTAGGACATTGGTTTGAAGAATGAACAAGGGTGCTACAGATCTGTTTTACAACCCCCCATTTTTCCTTAGTGTTATTTATTCAGTGAAGCTTGCTCTGATGAAAATGCTGATGAGAAGACAAAAATCCCTTAAATTGTGGTTTAGTGGGAACTGTTTAAAATCAATGTGCAACAAAGCGATGAACTAAGAAGATTTTAATGAAGGAAAATAACCCTGTGTTGAACACCATTAGCCAAAACAGAGGAGAAGCAGGTATTTTTGGAAGGTGCAAAAAGCTCAGTGATACTGGGACAGATCTTCCTTGTGGAAGAACCAGTTCTGAGACAATGCAAATCTGTAGTATTCCAAGCTTTACCTCTTTAAACAGGTTTGCTTGAGCCATTATGTTACTGCAAGGCAAGGAGCTTGCTGGGAAAAGTGAGGTGGGCTATAAAGAGGGTTTCCGGTGCCCCAGAGGAGTAGAGCAAGGTTGAGGAGTGCTTGAAAGCTCTTGCATGAAGTTCTGGGTAAGTAACTGTGTCTAAAGGTTTCGAGACTTCCTTGTACGAGAGGGGTTGACAGGAGGAGGAAAGGTTGGAGATGCCAAAGGTGCAATACATCTGCTTTCCTGCATGCCAGGCTACTGAGTAATCAAGATAAACAGATCATCAGTGACCTATGTTTTCTGGGACGAGTGTCCTGGGATACTGCGTAACAACAAAAACCCTTGGGAAGTGAAGAGGTCCATTTTTATTTTAAACTGGTCCCTCTTAGAAGAGAGAGAATGTCTTGGCTTGGCCAGGAGCTTAAAGTACAAAATCTGTGAACCCTGATAGGCAAACCAGAGCCTGGCTACATGGTGCTACTGGGCTGAAGGGATCTCTGGGTCCCTTCAAATGCGTGAGTGCTCCCTTCTCCATGACACAGCTCCTCCGCGCTGTCATTAGATGCAGAGAGACCAGAGACCGTGTAGTAGCTTGATAGTGCTCTGCGGGGCATAAGGCTTTATAATGTTATAAATCCTTGTGGGATTTATGTAAGATTCGGGATACTTTGGAGGCTGGGGGTTGTGCGTCATGCACAAGCTGAGATGTGCAGCAGCAGGGACTGCATGGTGCAGGCAGGCTGTTGCAGCCCCCCGTTTCCTCATGGCATGTTCAGATGGCATTCGGACATGCGATTTATTTCTTCCTGGTGGCTGAGTCCCAGCAGTGAGCAAATACTAATGACCACATAGGGGTAGATTAGGTTCTGGCCCCAACGTTACCTGTTGCCTTGGAGAGAGGCGGTTACACGGATTTCGGAATGAAAAGGGTGTTCTGAAAAGGCAGGCTGGTGCAGGGGGGCGGCAGAGCGCCCCTTAGTGGTCCCAGCTGCCAAGGCCTGATCGACGTAAAAGATTTATTATGTTTTTTTCCTGAAAGAAGAATTATTTTTTTTTCCCCTCCTCTGAAGGCAACAGTAACCTCTTTTGGAAGCAACAGGTGCCTGGAACAAGAATTGTTGAGAAATAAGCGTTAACGTTGGCAGCAGATGCGCTAGCAAAAGAAAGGGGAAGGGAGGGCTAATGACCTGTGTGCTGGACTGAGCTCGGTGACGGAGGGTTGCGCTGGGCTCCGTCGGGCCACAGATCGAGAGAAGGGTATGGAGCAGGCCCAGGATGCTGCCATTGCTCGTGATCTGCTCTCGGTTACACATCTGTGTCTCACAGCAGCCCCAAAACAAGGTAGAGGAATAAATGTCGTCATTC